GTAGAACACCTGGAGAGAAATGATATAATATCAGACAGACAGTATGGTTTTCGATCTGGAAGATCCTGTGTATCGAATTTACTCAGTTTCTATGATCGGGCCACAGAGATATTACAGGAAAGAGATGGTTGGGTTGACTGCATCTATCTGGACCTAAAAAAGGCTTTTGACAGAGTTCCACATAAGAGGTTGTTCTGGAAACTGGAAAATCTTGGAGGGGTGACAGGTATGCTTCTAACATGGATGAAAAATTTTCTGACTGATAGAAAAATGAGGGCAGTGATCAGAGGCAATGTATCGGACTGGAGAAATGTCACAAGTGGAGTACCACAGGGTTCAGTTCTTGCACCAGTGATGTTTATTGTCTACATTACATTACATCTACATTATGTTTATTGTAATTACACTTAGGATCTACCAGTTGGTATACAGAATTATATGAACATGTTTGCTGATGATGATAAGATAATAGGAAGGATAAGAAATTTTGATGATTGTCATGCCCTTCAAGATGATCTGGACAAAATAAGTATATGGAGTACCACTTGGCAAATTGAATTTAATGTTAATAAATGCCATGTTATGGAATGTGGAATAGGAGAACATAGACCCCACACAACCTATATATTATGTGAGAAATCTTTAAAGAATTCTGATAAAGAAAGAGATCTAGGGGTGGTTCTAGATAGAAAACTATCACCTGAGGACCACATAAAGAATATTGTGCGAGGAGCCTATGCCACACTTTCTAATTTCAGAATTGCTTTTAAATACATGGATGGCGATATACTAAAGAAATTGTTCATGACTTTTGTTAGGCCAAAGCTAGAATATGCAGCGGATGTGTGGTGCCCATATCTTAAGAAGCACATCAACAAACTGGAAAAGGTGCAAAGACATGCTACTAAGTGGCTCCCAGAACTGAAGGGCAAGAGCTACGAAGAGAGGTTAGAGGCATTAAATATGCCAAAACTAGAAGACAGAAGAAAAAGAGGTGATATGATCACTACATACAAAATAGTAACAGGAATTGATAAAATCGATAGGGAAGATTTCCTGAGACCTGGAACTTTAAGAACAAGAGGTCATAGATTTAAACTAGCTAAACACAGATGCCGAAGAAATATAAGAAAATTCACTTTCGCAAACAGAGTGGTAGACGGTTGGAACAAGTTAGGTGAGAAGGTGGTGGAGGCCAAGACCGTCAGTAGTTTCAAAGCGTTATATGACAAAGAGTGTTGGGAAGACGGGACACCACGAGCGTAGCTCTCATCCTGTAACTACACTTAGGTAATTACACTTAGGTAATTACAAACACACACACACACAAACTGGTGCGTGCATCAGGGTGGATCACCCACATTCAAGGAAGGGGGGGTCTGGTGCTAAGTGGACAGCTCTGGGACTCGTAATTCTGGGCCCGGGTTCGATTCCCGGCAGAGGCAGAAACAAATGGGCAAAGTTTCGTTCACCTGGTGCACCTGATCACCTAGTAGTAAATAGTACCTGGGAGTTACGGAGCTGTAAGATAAAAATATGTAGTAGACAAAACAGAGGAAAAATAAATTGGTTACAAAGGCTAATGCTTGATTCTGCAGATACAAATAGTGTGTGTGTGTGTACTCACCTAGTTGTGCTTGCGGGGTTTGAGCTTTGGCTCTTTGGCCCCGCCTCTCAACTGTCAATCAACTTGTATACAGATTCCTGAGCCTACTGGGCTCAATCATATATACATTTGAAACTGTGTATGGAGTCAGCCTCCACGACATCATTGCCTAATGCATTCCATCTGTTAACTACTCTGACACTGAAAAAGTTCTTTCTAACGTCCCAGTGGCTCATGTGGGTACTCAGTTTCCACCTGTGTCCCCCTTGTTTGCGTACCACCAGTGTTGAATAGTTTATCCTTGTCTACCTGGTCGATTCCCCCTGAGGATTTTGTAGGTTGTGATCACATCTCCCCTTATTTTTCTGTCTTCCAGTGTCGTAAAGTGCATTCCTCGCAGCCTTTCCTCGTAACTCATGCCTCTTAGTTCTGGGACTAGTCTTGTGGCATACCTCTGAACTTTTTCCAGCTTCGTCTTGTGCTTGACAAGGTACGGGCTCTATGCTGGGGCCGTATACTCCAGGATTGGTCTTACATATGTGGTATACAAGATTCTGAATGATTCCTTACACAGGTTCCTGAAGGCTGTTCTGATGTTAGCCAGCCTCGCATATGCCGCAGACGTTATTCTTTTTATGTGGGCTTCAGAAGACAGGTTTGGTGTGATATCAACTCCTAGATCTTTCTCTCTGTCCGTTTCATTAAGAACTTCATCTCTTGTTCTGTATCCTGTGTCTGGCCTCCTGTTTCCTCTGCCTAGTTTCATTACTTTGCATTTACTCGGGTTGAACGTCAACAGCCATTTGTTGGACCATTCACTCAGTCTGTCTAGGTCATCTTGTAGCCTCCTACTATCATCCTCTGTTTCAATCCTCCTCATAATTTTTGCATCATCAGCAAACATTGAGAGAAACGAGTCTATACTGTGACGATAATCTCCTTCAAGAGAGATTGAGCCTGCTCTTCCCTCCAAACTCCGTCCCAGAAATAACTAATATAGAAGATATATCCAACAAGTACAACAACAAGTTTTGCCCCAGAGCAAAACGTATCCAACACCGGGACACCTGCTCCACCTCCGCCACTCAAACCGGCAAACTGCTTGTCGCTGATTGGCTGGCACCTGTCGCACCTGCTACTCCACCCGCCACACGAGCTGATGTCTGAGCCACCACGACCTGAGGAGGGCAGAATATCTAGTGCTTTCCACAAGTTAACACGTCTCATTGGTAGACTAAGCCTTGGCTTACGTGTACTAAGGGAGGTGGCAGCTTGAAGCCAATATTCCTGCACTAATATATTTACTATTACTCACTTGTATTAACGTAACTTTTCATTTGCCAGTGATTATTCTTATTATTTTGTTTGATTGATTTATGTTACAATTTTTATTTCCAATTTTATTCATGTTTTGCTTTTTTAACGTAATTAAAATTTCATTGTTAAATTTACTTGTGTTTTGTGTGTCTTCCCATTACCTTACCACAGACAAAAGTTCCAGATTTTCTCTTTTTGTTTCTTTGTGTGACGAGGCCATACCCTAGCTTTTGAAACAGCCGAACACCAACGCGTTACCGTCACAATACCCTCTGGGAGATCATTTACATATATCAGAAACAGTATAGGTCCAAGGACTGCCCCCTGCGGGACTCCACTTGTAACGTCTCGCCAATCTGAGACCTCACCCCTCATACTGACTCGTTGTCTCCTGCTGTTTAGGTACTCCTTTATCCAATGGAGTACCTTCCCTTTCACTGCAGCCTGCATTTCCAGCTTTTTCACTAGCCTCTTGTGTGGTACTGTATAAAAGGCTTTCTGGCAATCCAAAAATATGCAGTCTGCCCACCCTTCTCTTTCTTGCCTTATTTTTGTTGCCTGGTCGTAGAATTCGAGTAACCCTGTGAGGCAGGACCTGCCATCCCTGAACACATGTTGATGCTTTGGTACAAAGTTCTTTCACTCCAGATGTTCCACTAGCTATCTTCGCACAATCTTCTCCATCAGCTAACATGGTATGCAGGTTAGGGACACTGGCATGCAGTTCAGTGCCTCCTGTCTATCCCCTTTCTTGTATATCGGGACTACGTTAGCTGCTTTCCAAATTTCTGGCAGTTCCCCTGTTGCCAGTGATTTGTTATACACTATGGAGAGTGGCAGGCACAATTCTTCTGCTCCTTCCTTTAGTATCCAAGGGGAGATTCCATCTGGGCCCATAGCCTTTGTCACATCCAACTCTAGTAAACACTTCCTCACTTCCCCGCTGGTAATCTCAAACTCTTCCAGTGGTTCCTGGTTAACTATTCCCTCTCTTATCTCTGGAATATATTCTAGCTCTAAGGTGAAGACCTCCTGGAATTTCTTATTCAGTTCCTCACACACTTCCTTGTCGTTTGTAGTGAATCCTTCTGCCCCTATCCTTAATTTCATAACCTTTTCCTTTACTGTTGTTTTTCTCCTGATGTGGCTGTGCAGCAATTTAGGCTGAGTCTTTGCCTTGCTTGCGATGTCATTGTCTTTCTGCCTCTCTTCTCAACCTGACATACTCATTCCTGACAATCTGGTATCTTTCTCTGCTCTCCAGTGTCCTGTTATTCTTATAGTTTCTCCACGCCCTTTTACTTTGTTGCTTAGCTAGCCTACATCTCTGATTAAACCATGGGTTTCTCATCTTCATTTCACTGTTTTCCTTTTGGTTTAGGACAAACTTGTTTGCTGTTTCCTTACACTTCTGTGTGATGTAGTTCATCATGTCTGGGACCGTCTTTCCCCTGAGCTCTGTTTCCCATGCTATATCTGTTAGGAATTATCTTATCTCCTCATAGTTTCCCTTTCGGAATGCTAGCCTTTTGTTTTCAGTACCCCTTATCTTGAGAGGTTATCTTGAGTTGATTACGGGGCATTTTAGTGTTCCCGCGGCCCGGTTCTCGACCAGGCCTCCACCCCCAGGAAGCAGCCCGTGATAGCTGACTAACACCCAGGGTACCTATTTTACTGCTAGGTAACAGGGGCATAGGGTGAAAGAAACTCTGCCCATTGTTTCTCGCCGGCGCCTGGGATCGAACCCAGGATCACAGGATCACAAGCCCAGCGTGCTGTCCGCTCGGCCGACAGGCTCCCTAACTGGCTCCCACCGACCGGCTCCCCTCCTCGAGTTCAATAACCCTCTTCAATCAGGTACTCAAACTCCAGTACACTGTGGTCGCTCATTCCTACTGGGGGTCTCAAAACCGATTTCTCTTATATCGGAGTCGTTCAGAGTGAAGACTAGGTCGAGTCTCTCTGGTTCGTCATTTCCTCTCATCCTTGTGGGTTCCCTGACATGTTGGCTTGGAAAGTTTCTTGTCGCCACCTCCATTAGTTTGGCTCTCCATGTATCCTCTCCTCCATGTAGTACCTTGTTCTCGTAGTCTATCCTTCCGTGATTGAGGTCTCCCATCATGAGCAGATGGGATCTATTTCTACAGGCAGCAGTGGCTGCTCTCTCAGTTATAGTGTTGACTGCCATGTTGCTTTTGTCATACTCTTGCCTGGGTCTTCTGTCATTTGGTGGAGGGATATATTACTGCTACTACTACTTTTGGTCCTTCCAATGTCATGGTGCCTGTTATGTAGTCTCTGAATCCCTCGCAGCCAGGGATGACCATCTCCTTGAAGCTCCATTAATTTCTCATTAGTAGGGCCACTCCACCTCCTCCCCATCCTTCCCTCTCTTTCCTTATAGTTCTGTAGTCCTGGGGAAACACCGCATTCGTTATGATGCCTGAGAGTTTTGTTTCTGTGAGTCCCATTACATCTGGGTTAACTTCTTGTGTTCTTTCCCGTAGTTCACTTGCCTTGCTTGTAATCCCATCTATGTTCGAGTACATTACCCTGGAGCGTGTGTGTGTGTGTGTGTACACACCTAGTAGTACTCATCTAGTTGTGTTTGCGGGGGTTGAGTTCTGGCTCTTTGGTCCCGCCTCTCAACCGTCAATCAACAGGTGTACAGATTCCTGAGCCTATTGGGCTCTATCATATCTACACTTGAAACTGTGTATGGAGTCAGCCTCCACCACATCACTTCCTAATGCATTCCATTTGTCAACCACTCTGACACTAAAAAAGTTCTTTCAAATATCTCTGTGGCTCACTTGGGCACTCAGTTTCCACCTGTGTCCCCTTGTGCATGTGCTCCTTGTGTTAAATAGCCTGTCTTTATCTACCCTATCAATTCCCTTCAGAATCTTGAATGTGGTGATCATGTCCCCCCTAACTCTTCTGTCTTCCAGCGAAGTGAGGTTTAATTCCCGTAGTCTCTCCTTGTAGCTCATACCTCTCAGCTCGGGTACTAGTCTGGTGGCAAACCTTTGAACCTTTTCCAGTTTAGTCTTATCTTTGACTAGATATGGACTCCTTGCTGGGGCTGCATACTCCAGGATTGGCCTGACATATGTGGTATACAAAGTTCTGAATGATTCTTTACACAAGTTTCTGAATGCCGTTCGTATGTTGGCCAGCCTGGCATATGCCGCTGATGTTATCCGCTTGATATGTGCTGCAGGAGACAGGTCTGGCGTGATATTAACCCCCAAGTCTTTTTCCTTCTCTAACTCCTGAAGAATTTCCTCTCCCAGATGATACCTTGTATCTGGCCTCCTGCTCCCTACACCTATCTTCATTACATTACATTTGGTTGGGTTAAACTCTAACAACCATTTGTTCGACCATTCCTTCAGCTTGTCTAGGTCTTCTTGAAGCCTCAAACAGTCCTCTTCTGTTTTAATCCTTCTCATAATTTTAGCATCGTCCGCAAACATTGAGAGAAATGAATCGATACCCTCCGGGAGATCATTTACATATATCAGAAACAAGATAGGACCGAGTACAGAGCCCTGTGGGACTCCACTGGTAACTTCAAGCCAATCGGAGGTCTCACCCCTCACCGTAACTCTCTGCTTCCTATTGCTTAGATACTCCCTTATCCACTGGAGCACCTTACCAGCTACACCTGCCTGTCTCTCCAGCTTATGTACCAGCCTCTTATGCGGTACTGTGTCAAAGGCTTTCCGACAATCCAAGAAAATGCAGTCCGCCCAGCCCTCTCTTTCTTGCTTAATCTTTGTCACTTGCTCGTAGAATTCTATCAAGCCTGTATGGCAAGATTTACCCTCCCTGAACCCATGTTGGCGATTTGTCACGATCCCTTCTCTCCAGATGTGTTACCAGGTTTTTTCTCACGATCTTCTCCATCACCTTGCATGGTATACAAGTTAAGGACACTGGCCTGTAGTTCAGTGCCTCTTGCCTGTCGCCCTTTTTGTATATTGGGACCACATTCGCCATCTTCCATATTTCTGGTAGGTCTCCCGTCTCCAGTGACTTACTATACACTATGGAGAGTGGCAAGCAAAGTGCCTCTTCACACTCTTTCAGTACCCATGGTGAGATCCCATCTGGACCAACAGCCTTTCTAACATCCAGATCCAGCAGGTGTCTCTTGACCTCCTCTCTCGTAATTTCGAACTCTTCCAAGGCCGCCTGGTTTACCTCCCTTTCTCCTAGCACAGTGACCTCACCCAGTTCTATTGTGAAGACCTCCTGGAACCTCTTGTTGAGTTCTTCACACACCTCTCTGTCATTCTCTGTATACCTGTCCTCGCCTGTTCGAAGTTTCAATACCTGTTCTTTCACTGTTGTTTTCCTACTGATGTGACTGTGGAGTAGCTTTGGTTCGATCTTGGCTTTGTTTGCTACATCATTTTCAAAACTTTTCTCTGCTTCTCTTCTCACCCTGACGTACTCATTCCTGGTTCTCTGGTATCTCTCTCTGCTTTCTGGTGTTCTGTTATTCCGGAAGTTCCTCCACGCCCTTTTGTTCAGTTTCATCGCTTCCATACATGCCCTATTATACCATGGATTCTTCTGTTGCTTCTCGGATTTTTCCCTTTGGGCCGGGATGAACCTGTTTACTGCCTCTTGACACTTTTGGGTAACATAGTCCATCATACCCTGTGTGTGTGTGTGTGTGTGTGTTTACTAGTTGTGTTTACTAGTTGTGTTTTTGCGGGGGTTGAGCTTTGCTCTTTCGGCCCGCCTCTCAACTGTCAATCAACTGTTTACTAACTACTTTTTTTTTTTTTTTTTTTTTTTCCACACCACACACACACACACACCCCAGGAAGCAGCCAGTGACAGCTGACTAGCTCCCAGGTACCTATTTAATGCTAGGTAACAGGGGCACTTAGGGTGAAAGAAACTTTGCCCATTTGTTTCTGCCTCGTGCGGGAATCGAACCCGCGCCGCAGAATTACGAGTCCTGCGCGCTATCCACCAGGCTACGAGGCCCCTAAGGTGTGTGTGTGTGTGTGTATGGCCCGAGGCCCCGAGGTGTGTGTGTGTGTGTGTGTGTGTGTGTGTGTGTGTGTGTGTGTGTGTGTGTGTGTGTGTGTGTGTGTGTGTGTGTAAAAGAGTTAGTTAGTTAGTAGTGAGTAATAGTTAATTGACAATTGAGAGGCGGGCCAAAAGAACATTGCTCAACCCCTGCAAGCACCCAGGTGTTAAGGGGACTTCAGCAGCGAACTGATCGTAATGCATGCAATAATAAAGAGCCTACAGAGTGAGCTGGGGAAAGCCAAGGAAGAGATAAGGAAACTCAGCGAAAATCCGAATTCAAATTAGCACGAGGCAAGCAACATTATGGAAACATGGATGAAGTAGATGGAGGGCTCCTTCCAAGAGATCCTCGTTTGCAGAACTGCTGAGAAATAACCCAAGAGCCATGGCTGTTATAGTGGAAGCAGCTATGGAAGCAGCTACATCCCAGGAAGCTACAATGTGCACGAGTCAAATGCTGGAAAGAAAAATATCTATTATAGTTGTAGGAGTACAGAACCGGAATGATCCAACCATGAGGATTGGAAAGGGAAGGACTGAGCAACGGCGATAAAGATCTTTGCGAGCCTGGATATGTCAGGGGCTAATGGCAACATAGATAAGGTTTTCAGGCTGGGCGCCTACAAGAAGGAAAGGAAACGACTAATAAAATTAGTGCTCATGAAAGAGGAAATCCTGTCAAGGAAGAGAAAACTTATGAGAGTAGGGGAATACAATAACATTTTTCTGCAGAGGGACATGACAAGGGAAGAGAGAAGGAAGGCTGCAGAAGCAACGAGGAGATGCAAGGGGAGGGATGGGAAAGAGAGAGCCACAGGACTTGGCGCAGTATCTCCAGTAATCTCAGAGGGGAGTGAGAATCCCCTCTCCACCCGGCCAGCATCCCACAGGGAAGAATTTAACAGAAACCTCCCACCATCCCCCCACACGATCATTCCCCCCCCCAATCATCTGCACCATCTCAACCATTCGAGACCCTCCTCAGACCATGCCCCCCTTGCTCCCAAACCCCAGACCCCCCATGTTTCCGTCCTTACCATCCTTCCCTACCCCCTTTCCCCACCCCCAGGGCCTCTCTATTCTCATACCCCATGCCCTCCCCTGTTTCTTCAGCCCATGCCCTCTCCAGTATGCCAACCCCAAGCTTTCCTTCCTCCCACACCCCACTCCCTCCCTGCCCCCTCACCCCCAGGCTCCCCTTCATTCTCCAACTATTGACCTCCCTCCCCCCTTTCACATGCCCCTCTGCTCCCCCATTCCAAGCTCTAATTGACACCCATCCCCAGACCCTCTCTGCTACACCACCCCCAGACCCTCCTAGCTTCCCCATACTGGGTCCTCCCATCCTCTCTCCTCCCATATCCCCCTGGTCTTCCTTCCTAGGCCCCTCCCACCCCGGACATCCCTTGTCCCACTACTCCAGTGGAATCAACAAAGGATGATCTCATAAGGATGGAATGAAGGGAGTCAGTTTTGAGGTAATGTACTCAAACATAAATGTGATTACAAGGAAGGCAAGTGAACTAAGGAAAAAAGCACAAAAAGGGAACCCAGATGTAATTGGACTCACAGAAACAAAAGTCTCAGGAATCATAACGAATGTGGTTTTTCCCCAGGACTACACTGTAATAAGGAGAGAGAGAGGGAGGGAAGGGGAGGAGGCAGAGTGGCCCTACTGATAAGAAAGGAATGGAGTTTTGATGAGATGGTTATCCTAGGCTGCAAGGGGAATAGAGACTACATTACATGCACAATGACATTGGAAGGACCAAAAGTAGTAGTAGCAGTAATATATCCCTCCACCAAATGACAGAAGACCCAGGCAAGAGTATGACAAAAGCAACACGGCAGTCAACATTATAATTGAGAGAGCAGCCTCTGCTGCGTGTAGAAATAGATCCCATCTGCTCATCATGGAGGACTTCAATCACGGAAGGATAGACTGGGAAAACGAGGAACCACATGGAGGAGAGGAAACATGGAGAGCTAAACCGTTGGAAGTGAGGACAAGTAACTTTTTAAGTCAGCATGTTAGGGGACTCACAAGAATGAGAGGCAATGATGAACCATCAAGACTTGACCTAGTCTTTACTCTGAATGACTCCGACATAAGGGAAATCAGTTTCGAAGCCT